CACATAGGATATATGATTCCATACAAAAGTCATATATGGTTCTTTAAAATTTTTGCAAAAAAGAGGTTGATTATGTTTAAACAGACAAAACTAGCCCTGTTATTATAAATATAAAACAAAATCCTATAATCATATTTCTCCTCTTCCGCCTCTTTCGTCGTTGCAGATCAAATCCACTGCCGCCACCCAAGATAAAGGCATTGTCGTCGCCGCCCAAGGCGGCTATATTGCCGCTGCCCTCCAATTCAACGACATCCCCACACTTGTCTTCTTCTTCCATTTCTTTGGTCAATGACGATTGGGGATGGAACCGACACATTATGGGCCTAGGGTCTGATACAGGGCTGGGGCCACGATGGAGGAGGCAGGGGATGGCGTGGGTCTAGGGCGGTGTTGGGGCTGTGCTTGGGCGGGGATTGGGCTAGTGAGCTATGGTTGGAACGACAGGGCAGGGGAAGGGGGTTGGGGTGTGGTAGGAGAAGGGATTTGTGTCACGCCCCAAACCGCATCTAAGCGCGTGCGCAACCGCTGTATGACTAAACGACGTCACTCGCAAGTCAACGTGACTTAATCGAGCAAGGTGAGAATAGCAAACTTGAGCTTCAACCTGAAATGGTCTCCCCCCCCAAAGGGGTCAGTACAAGTACCGAGCGAGTAGCAGGCTAAATGTAGAATAACTAACGTTTCACGTATAAGACCCAAACATAGGGTGATACATATACATATAGTTCATTCCCCCAAGTTGTGAAATACATATCAATATATATATATATATATATATATATATATATATATATATATATATATATATATATATATATATATATATATACACACATGGAAATACCCGACCCGTAGGTCATCATTTATTTGGGAAAAATAGTATAGTCAATATCCTTGACTTAAACCCCAACCCACCCATATACCTATGAGTGTATAGAACTCCTCCTGGTTCAAATCATCTTAACATGAGGACAACGCCTGATCCTAAATTACAAAACAGTAATTCAATAATAATCTATGAGTTTTGAGGATACACGCCTGATCCTTGGGTACTCCACCCTATATAACCGAGTTTTGAGGATACACGCCAGATCCTTGGGTACTCCACCCTATAAGCGAGTTTTGAGGATAACCGCCCGATCCCTGGGTACTCCACCCTATAACCGAGTTTTGAGGATAACCGCCCGATCCCTTGGTACTCCACCCTATAACCGAGTTTTGAGGATAACCGCCCGATACCTGGGTACTCCACCCTATAACCGAGTTTTGAGAATAACCGCCCGATCCCTGGGTACTCCACCCTATAACTGAGTTTTGAGGATAACCACCCTATAACCGAGTTTTGAGGATAACCGCCTGATCCCTGGGTACTCCACCCGACTTATGATCTACCACATATCATCCTAGATAAGTTCTATATCATAATAAATAATCAAGACTAAACCAAGTCTTAAGGTCTAAGCATAATCATCCATGCAATTCATGCATTAAAAATCAACATTTAGGCAAAACAGCACCAAACCAGCGCCAGTTTTGACATAACCAGCACCGGTTATTAATTAAATTAATTAAACTAGCCTTGCCGAACCATAACCGGCGCCGGTTTTGCCTATAACCGGCGCCGGTTACCCCCTGGGCAACCTAGTCAACATTTTCGTTGACTCGCCATTTCAGCCCGATTCGTGTCAAACTTAATCCCAACGTGTATTAAGTTATAACCAAGTATTTTATGCCCTTTTTATCCTTTAAAACATCATATATGTTTTATAAACATTTTCATATCATACTTCATTTATGATATCAATGGGTCATTCATATAAGCAGGGTCGGTCCTAACAAAAAATGGACCCTGTGCAAAAATAAAAATTAGGCCTTTTATTTAATGAAGTAAAATATAAACATAGGAATAAACTGTACACTATATTGGCAATAAATTTTTAATACTTTATGTGAAATTACAAGTTATTAATTTACAAATTAAAACAATCAAAATGAAACTATTTGTTTACAAAATCCACTTTAAAAAAAAGATATACTACGAACTGGAATAACTTTACGAAATAGTGAGAATGGTAAGCAGTGAGTGAGAGGCTCAAAGAATAACTTTATAATATTTGTATGAAACAAAATCAATTAGCTAGCATTGGGAGTGATGGTGATCTAGAAGAGTGGACGGGCATGAAAAGTCCAAGAAATACTCTGTAAGTCTGTAGCATAAGGGCTTTTCTTTCTTCTTCTCCTGTTCAATTTCCTTTCCCACACCGGTTAGTGAAAATTTCCTTAGCCCCAGTGTTCTATAAATAGGCTTTCTCCCATGCGAGAAGCTATTTAAATTGTAACTCTTGTTTATTGGGCCACCGAAGCATTTTATAAACGCCTCAATGGAAGGCCCGCCAGGGAGTTTTTTATTTGCTTCATTTGAGAACTAAGCTATATTACGTTAAGAATATTATTTTTTGGGCCTTCGATTTTTTTGGGCCTTGTGCGGTCGCACAACCCAAACATGCTCTGGGCCGGCCCTGCATATAAGCCTAATCACTTTGGTTAATCACATGTTTAAGCATCTTTTAAACATCATTATGAACACATATAACATTTACTTAGGTAATCTCATATTTAACCCAAGAGTTATAAGACATTAATCCGTCCACTCACCTCGAATTAGCGCTATAAAGTTCTACCCTTCTCGGTTGAACTCCGGCGAAACTCCGACGAACTTTGACGAACTCCGGCGATAACTCCGGTGACTCTTTCAACTTCGTGAAAGCTCTTGAATCACCTTATACAATTGCCTAACAAGGTTTTATCATCACAAAACCCATATCAATACAAGTAACCTTAAAAAGGTTATTTTCCGGCGAACCGGTCCCTTTGGCCTTTAAGTCCGTTCTTGGACTTAGAACTACTTTCAACCCCTTGTTCCACACTTTTAAACATGTAGAACAATCATAAAAGTACTTCATATGATATACAAGTCATATGAAAATCAAAAGATGGAAGAAAAGTTGATAAGGAGCTTCTCACCTTTATTCCCAAGGTGTTTCTCTACTTTCACAGCTTCTTCTTCTTCCTTGAGCTCCTTGCTTTCTTGAGCTCTCTTGGCTATGGAGTATCAAGTTGCAGAGCTTCCTCTCTTTCCTTGTCTTGGTGCTGGCCGAATTACTAGGTGAGGAGAGGGGTGTGTTTCTCTTTTTGTCTCTTTGGCCAATTATGGGTGAGAGGGTCCCTTTGGATGTCAAAGGTGTTTCCTCCATCCTTTCAAGAGCTCTCAACCAAATTTTGGAACCAATCAGCCCCCATTAGCTGCTAAATTCGTGGGGTGGCCCCCACCCATGTGGGAGGTCACCCTAATATGCCCCAAAGTGTACATTCTGTCCCGAAAGTTGTATTTTTCGGACTGTTTTAACTATATTTTATTTTATCGGGTCAAATAAAATATGACACTTACTTTCCATCATAACGGGCCTTAAGAATGATTATACATTCCCCAACTTTAATTTGTAAGCCTCCGAAATCCATATTGGGCTGTTATACCATAAATTACCAAAACTGGTAATTGGGCCTTGTTTGACCAATCGGTCAACCCAATGCCTTTCTTATGGCCCAACATGAATGTCCACCACCATACAACTATTATCTATACCAATATGAATAAAATATGTGGTCTCGAGAATATCGGGTGGTCCCCGCTCCCAGTGTGGGCCCCGCGTGGGAGTTCTTACAAAAATTCTTTTGTCTATTACATACCTAAATTCTTTTGTCTATTCACGCAAAAGAAATAACAAAAATTTACAACCTCGTAAATTCATTACTCAATACTCAATGTTCAATACATAATTTAGATGAGGAAGCTGTCCAGCCCAGCTAGTCGTCTACCCACTCTCCCTTACGAGAGTTCTTGAGTTCGAAATTCAATGGAGTGAGTTTCAGCCCTGATTACTCCAGGTCCCTCAGCCCCCAAGTCCCCTGGAGTAAAAAAAAGTAAGAATTATTTAGAGTCAGGTAAACTTCACCAAATTTGATATTAAAAGAACATGAAATATGCTTTTGGTACACAAAATGTGTGCACAAAATATGTACACATGTCTGGACATGCGTACACATTTTGTGTATCCTTTTGTATACACACTTTGTATACCCAAGCAAACTCCAAAGAACATTTGGAAAAGGAAAAGGTAAAATGAGACGTGGTTCAATGCGAGTTGAGAGTAGATACATGATCTTACTCTCTTGCATCTCATCATGTTCCCTATTGTGCGATAAGCGGTTTTTGAATCGGAGTTGAAACCAGAATCAAAACTGGGCATTGGAATCAAACGTACCCCCATAAAGTTCCCGAGTTTCACTCAATTCGTTTCCCGCCTCTGTCATCCAGCACCAATGGCGGACAACAAGAAGAAGCGTCGGCGAGCCACCCACGAAACAGGCGCTGACCGGATCCCGTTCAAATCCAAGGTCAAACCAGACTCTGTAATTCTCCAAACCCTAAAAACCTTAAAGGAAGCCACACTAGCTTCTTCCTCCTCCTCCTCCAAAGCCCTAACCCTTTCCGACCTCGAGCTCACCGGTTCCTTCCGCGAAGTCAAAGATCTCCCGCTTTCCTCTGTGAAAACCACTATCGAGGATCTCTTCCTCAGCCTTGCACGCTCCATCCTCTCCGGCCAAGGCTTTTCCTACTCCGTCCCCTCCCGCTCCGCCGCCAACCAGCTCTACATTCCCGAACTCGATCGCATCGTACTCAGGGATAAGGCCTCCGTTCGCCAATTCGCCAATGTTTCCACCGTCCGCAAAACCACTATCACCACTCGCATCCTCCGGCTCATCCACGAGCTCTGCTTGAAGAACATCCACGTCACAAAGCGTGACCTCTTCTACTCCGACGTGAAGCTGTTCCGGGACCAGACGCAATCCGACGCTGTTCTAGATGATGTGTCGTGTATACTCGGCTGTACCAGATCTAGCCTGAACGTGGTTGCTTCTGAGAAAGGGGTTGTTGTGGGAAGGCTTATTTTCAGTGACGCTGGTGATGTAATAGACTGCACGAAGATGGGAATGGGAGGGAAGGCCATACCCCCAAACATTGATCGGGTAGGGGATATGCAAAGTGATGCACTGTTCATACTATTGGTCGAGAAGGATGCTGCTTATATGAGACTGGCAGAGGACAGGTTTTACAATCGATTTCCTTGCATAATTGTGACGGCCAAAGGACAGCCAGATGTAGCCACCAGGCTGTTCTTGAGGAAAATGAAGATGGAGTTGAATTTGCCTGTGCTAGCTTTGGTAGATAGTGATCCCTATGGATTGAAGATTCTGTCTGTGTATGGGTGTGGATCGAAGAACATGTCCTATGACAGTGCAAATTTGACAACCCCGGATATAAAGTGGCTGGGGGTTCGGCCTAGCGATTTGGACAAGTATAACATACCCGCGCTGTGCAGGCTGGATATGACGGAACAGGATATTAAAACAGGGAAGGATTTGCTGGAAGAAGACTTTGTAAAGAAGAACCCGGGGTGGGTTGAAGAGTTGAGTTTGATGGTTAAATCCAAACACAAGGCCGAGATTCAGGCTCTGAGCTCCTTTGGCTTTCAGTATCTAACCGAGGTCTATTTGCCATTGAAACTGCAACAGAAAGATTGGATCTAATGATGCAGACATGCCTAGTTTAAGTGTATAATACAGTAAGTATTACACTTGCCCCCTACGGATTTTAAAACCAGTATGACTTTTTGTTTTTTAGAAAAATGCACTAGAAGAATCCCAGCTATTATTGATCTGCTTTAAATAATCTAAACTATCAATTATCTCAAAATAATCCCAACTATTGAATAAAATTCTCGAAGTGCTCCAGTGACTTGTAGTAACCCGTAAATGATTGGTATTGGAGAAGAATACATTTTTTCTTGTATTCTTACACGGAATTTATTTTACTCCCAAACAAGTGTTGTACTGGAAGATAGAAAAGAAGGAAGGGTTTAACATGAAGATGGAAGCATGTGGTTGTTCATCTTAAAATACATTATTAGTACACAATCTGATAGTAACAACAAAAACTCAATTCAGTGCACCATAGGATGGATGTGAGGATATCAGACTCAGTACATCAAGAAGGTGAGAAGTTTTTATATGAGGTTTTATGGTTGTACATTATGATCGGCAAGTTAGGCAAAAAAATTATAATTTTATTTTCATTATTGTAATTCGATAGAAACTTCTCAACTGTGGGGTAAAAGCAAGTAAGCAACCCACTCAAACCAGCTCTCTCTTGCATGTGAATTAAATTATATTCAAATCTCTATAACACTATGTATATATTCAAACTAATAGCAATTCTCTCTAGTCTGGTTGTGTTTTTATGTTAGAATTGCACTTTCTCTAATTGTGGTGCTAATAATAGTACAAACCTTCGTGTGGTATTTCTCTGAGAAAGCTATGTGATTTTCCAAAAGATCTGGTCCTTATTCTTTGTGTATGAGAGGACTTATTTGCTATTTTCAAAAGCTCTTCCTATTAATATTTTTGCTAGCTAGTTGCGTATGGAGATGAGAAAAAACAAGAGTTGCAGCAGGCCGTAAGCTAAGGCTATGGCCTATGGCCTAATAAAATTATAAAGTCTAGTTGACTTTTACCAGAACAACCGGTTGCTGAAGAAGTGACAAGATTTAGGGAAGATTATCTTTAAAGAAGGATTAATATTGGAATAATTAATAGTTGGGATTATTTCAAGTAGATATCTCATACTTGGGATTATTCTTATCAATGTTTCTTTGTTATGTAGTACAATTCATGTGTGGCATGTTACTTGCATTTTCGTTCTACCAGAATGATGATCCAAAGATTTGTTCTCTATTCTGGTCACTTCAGGATTGGGTAAAATTGTAAAATAGAATTGGGTAAAATCGACCAATTTAAAGTTAGATAAATTCGGTACATTTGCAGAAAAAAAGCAGCGAACAATTTTTAGTACATTTTAAATTTACCTTCCTCGATTGCATGATTTTCTGCCTTCTGATGTAACTTTTATGGTTTCATCATAAATGTTTAAAAGCATGATGTTTCCTGGTATTTGGCATATCACTTTGAGGCTGAAATTAAGAAACTCGTACGTTGTATTGATTTGAATGTTTTAGTGTAAAACAAAATTTGTTCTAATCCTTGTATTTCTTCTTGGAACAACTTTAACCTACATCAGGATCTCCTCTGTTTTTGACCTGCCTGGGACACACATATCAACGGCGTCCTCAAAGGATTTGAGGTGCAGGAGGGATGCAGCACGTGACAGCCAGCCAAGGGGCTCAAGAGCTGCGATGTAACACTGGCGACCTGCTGACAGTTTAGTACTGATAGCTGGAGTATTATTAGTATTATTAGTTTCTTATAATCCGTGTTAGTTCGAGTCCTAGTTGAATTGGTCCGTTTCCTAATGAATTTAGGACTTCCGGCTTTAAGTTTTATACTCTTATGTAGCCTCTACATATTTAAGGGCCTTCTATTATAATTCCTACAAACGTGGTTTTAGTATTTATTTCCGTCTTGCATAGATTTGAAATTCCAAGCACTAAAAAAGCTGCACGATGGATGAAATCTAAGGGCCTTCTAGTTTTTTTTTGGATTTCCAAGCACTGATACGAGAGCTCCTATTGCTTCCTCTTCTCTCCATCTGTGCTATCTTTGCCTTGGATGAAATCTTACGCTTGTGGTGTTAACATTTTTCTGCAGGGATGGTCAAATAACTGCGTGAACTGATAAAACCGAAGACCAAAATGACATGTAGAGCTCGTTTGGAGACCCCTTTTTTCGGCTTATCAGGCTTATCAGCCAGCTTTTTCACCAAACACATAATTTTTACTTTCGCGTGCTGAATTGTGTAATAAGCAGAAAAAGTAAGGTTGGAGTTACTTTTCTGGCTGTATTGGCTGAAGTTACTGTAGATGACCATTTTAGCTATTTTTACATGTAATTTTTTCTTTATTTTATTAATAAAATATATTTTTAAAATATTTTTTTCTAGAATCAGCAGAATCAGCCAAAACAGCCACTTCAGCCAGAACTTCATAAATTTCAGCAGAAACAGCCAAAACAGCCGATTTTCGTGCTACCAAACGGGCTCGTAAATTGATTTCCCGTCTGAAATTGGTAATTATTGTTTGAAAAATTCTATTGTTTGGTTAATGTTCGGTTTTCCATTTTCAGATTTGGTCTGACTGAAAAACTGAAAACCGTACTGGCTTTAATCAAGAATCCTATTCCCATAGACGGAGCAATAAATTAAATTAGAAGTCTTAAATCCAAAACAGCAAAGCATAAATCCTCATCCCCAACCGATTAAGGTCTGTATACATTTAACTTCCTCAAGAACGAACCTTTAGTGAAGGCTAATAAATCCCCATCTTTCATATTTGCTTCAGCCATCTTGCAATTTGCTTAGATCGGCAAGACTGCAACTAATCCCATATTTCTTCACATTACTTTTACAGTTCAGATCTGCTTATTTTTTATGTTTATGTTTTTTTTTTTAAATTTGTATGCTAGATTTTCTTGTATAATACTACGTAATACTGTAATGTTAGATCTGCATGATCAGATTTTCATGTCAGATTCCCTATTTATTCTTTTTCCATCATTTGCAATGGAGCCAAAGATTCATTATTTTTTGGCTTGAGAATATGATGGAATAAAGCAAAATGACTCACTAAACTGTTTGCGCTTCTTTGTTATGAAGCAACAGTCAGTCCATGCAATTATTGGACGCGATTTTCACTATGAGTCATCCGGAAACAGTCTCTCTGTGCTTTAGTACATGGGTAAGACTGCGTACATACGACCCCCCTTACCCCACCGTAGGTGGAGTCTTTGTGGCACTGGGGTAAATAAAAATGAAATGAAATGAAATGATTCCCTATTTATTCTAAACGAACTGGATGTTTTCTGGAATTCTAGTCTTCTTCTCTTCTGCTAGTATACTAGTATATTATTTGTATACTAGTATATTATTTGACTTTTGAATATTAATCAAATTCTCAATGGTTGCATTTATGTATATACTCAGTAAGTTGTTAATGGTTAATAGGTCAATTATAACATCTGCATACAAAATTTGAAAGCTCGGAATGAAATATCAATTAGAATGTTTTTATAATAGATCTGTAATTTTTTGGTCTATTGTAATTTGGTCAAAACTGGTCAGTTTAAGTTTGATCTGAATTGGTGTGGTAGATGTTAATTATCTCTATGTTTATGTTACAATTATGTCTGATTTGTTTATATCTAATTTGATTTGATCTATTTAAAAACATCCCTAATATCCTAAAACTAACTTAACTGACAGTAACCTACAGGCTACAATATACGTTTCCGTCAGTTGAATATACCTCTTCGCAAGGTTATTGGAGGAGAAAAGTAACAAAATTATCAATCGATTAGTTGGTTGAATAATTTTCGGGCAGCTTTTTAACTGGCCGATCAGACTCTCGGGCTCATTTTCTGCATTCAAGCTCTAAAGAGTAGACCTGCACAAAAGCGGGTTCGGGCCGGGCTCGGGCCGGGCTTTCCATAAGTTTTCTGCCCATCGTGTGTGGGCGGGCCCGGCCCGGCCCGCAAAAACGGGCCTAACCCCATGTCCATACCCGCCCGTAAGAGCGGGCCGGGTAGTCCACCGGGCCGCCGGGCCCGGTAAAATTTTAAATTTTTCAAAATTATGTAATTTATTTCATACTTTATAAATAATATTACAACATTTAAAAAATTGCTAATACGCTTATAATGTATATAGGCCTTTCATCACATACACAAAAAATATTTACACAAAAATAATAATGAGAAACTATATCTAAAATTTAAAATTCAAGCACAAAGTATTATCTTTAAGTACAAAAATAGATATTATATTGGTTGGACTATTTGTTAAGAACTAAAAACTTAAATTTAAACATAATAAACTATAAATATGTATACAGATAAATTAGTAAATATGAAAATATACAAGTGTACATGTAAATAAATACATAAATTAGTATATATAAAAATATATATGTATATATACTAAATGTAGCGGGCCGGGCTTATCGGCCCGAACGGGCCTACACCCTAACCCAAGCCCGCCCATATGTTGTTGCGGGCCGGGCCCGGGCCGGGCCGGTAGGTAAATATATATGTCCAAGCCCGCTAATTTGTGCGGGCGGGCTGGGCGGGCCGGCCCGGTTTTGTACATGTCTACTAAAGAGGAAGCAGTTAGTTAAATACAGTATGAGGTTTAGGTTTAATACGTATGCGTTTTATTCGTTAACATTATGAAAAAATGGTTAAAAATTCATTGAAAAAACGTTGACTTTTAAAAAACGCGTCAACACATAAACGTAGGGGTGGACTCGGGCCGGGCCAACCGGCCCGGGACCGGCCCGCTACTGTGCGGGCCCGGACCGGCCCGGTCACCCGGTTCTTGACCGGTTCGGGCCACCCGGCCCGGTGGTATAGCGGTCCGGGCCCGGGCCTCCATTTTAGGGAACCGGCCCGGCCGGGCCCTGTTCGGGCCTCCAACGGCCAACTTTTTTTAATTTTTTTTTTTTTTTTTGTAATTTGAAGAGGCTCCTCCTAGCCGTTGGGAAGGCTCCCAAACGGCTCTATAGCCGTTGGGAGCATAGGAGGGGGGGTCTGGGGGGTGGGGGTGGGGTATAAAAAAAAATCTATTTAAACTCCTATTTTCTCTACATTTTTTACATCTCTTCTTCTACAACTCTTCCTACTCTCTAATTCTCTACTCTAAATCTCTCATATTCAATCATCTTCATTCTTCATCTTCTCCAAATTCTTTCAACATATATATAATTTATATAATTATTATATCTACTTATATATTAATTATCTATTTAAAAATATATACTTATACACATTCATATTATAATTCTTTACACATTATATATACTATATAAGTATATATACTATACACATTCATATTCACTTGATATTTAGTTATTATCCATACTATTGTTATTTACTTATATTTATATATTACATTTAGTTAATATATACTTATATATATATATATATTAAAGTATTAAGTATAAGTGTATTACTCATCTTATAGTAATATACTTATATATTATATACTATAAACATTATATTATATATTACTTATAATATATTTACACATTATATATACTATATATACTTATACACATTCATATTTATTTGATATTTAGTTTTTATACATACTATTGTTATTTACTTATATTTACATATTACATTTAGTTAATATATACTTATATATATATATATATTAAAGTATTAAGTATAAGTGTATTACTCATCTTATAGTAATATACTTATATATTATATACTATAAACATTATATTATATATTACTTATAATAGTAGTTAATTGTTAGACTTCTAATTTATCTATTAAATTAGTTAATTGTTACATTTCTCTACATTTCTCTTTAAAGGAAAAAATAGTTAAAGTAGTATATTTTTACATTTGTCATATTTCAATTAGTTAAAGTACTTAATTGTTTCATTTGTCATATTTCAATTAGTTAAAGTACTTAATGAGAAATGTATACTTTAACTAATATTAATATGACAAATGTAAAAATGTACTACTTTTTTTACTTTAATGAGAAATGTAGCAATTAAGTAATAACTAGTAAATTTTTACATTTGTCATTTTAAAAACTACCTAAAGTAGTTAATTGTTAAATTTGTCATATTAATATTAGTTAAACTACCTAATTGTTACATTTCTCATATTAATATTAGTTAATTTGTACATTGCTCATTAAAGTAAAAAAAAAAAAAAACTAGTTAATTTTTACATTTCTCATATTTATATTAGTCAAACTAGTTAATATTTAGTTAATTGATACATTTCTCATTAAAGTATTAATTAGAAGTAGTTCGATTTGTATACTCATATTTTAGTTCGAATTTGCAATAGTTTTCTTAGTCACATTTTATTATTACTATTGTACTCATATAAAATATTTGATATCATTTAATATTTGTTCAATTTTAAAGATGGAACGTGGTAGACATTCTGTAGATGTGGGTAATCTCCAACGCAACCGCAAGAGGGAGATTGCGTCGACTCGTCCTAATTCACGCAAAGGCAAAGGTAAAGCGCGGGCGGAGTCTTCTTTTCAAAGTCGAGATGATTTTGAAACGGATTACCAACGGAGAGATGATATGATGATGTCCGACGAGCATCTACAAAACCTATTGTCCCAAAACGATCCATGCTTTGCACAAGAACAACCCATCCCGACAACCATTGATGAAGAGGAGCT